CATAAGCTTGTGCGGAGGGCTTTTTGGCACTGCTCAACCGATATGAAGGTGCAGGCCACATTGCCGGTGTTAAGATCTATCAGGGTGCTCGCTATGCTATTACATAGTATTTTGGATTTATATGAGCATTGTTAGGGATAGGTCAAAAACAAGGATAAATCGGTGGTGTTATTCATTCATAATGCAAATGAATATAATCGTGAAGAGTTGAAACAAGAACTTCAGATTGGCAAGGAAACCATGAATGAAAAATATCTTGGCCTGCCAGCACATGTGGGAAGATCTAAAGGAGGAGCCTTTGCTTATGTAAAAGAACGAATTTGGTAGCGCATCCAGGGATGGAAGTAGAAAATGATTTCACGGGCTGGCTTAGAGATCAATATTAAGGTGGTTGCACTTCTACAAAAATAATTTGTAGCAACGTCTTCCTTTCTCTATAGGAGCGGCTCTATATTGAGTCGTCCCTACAAATGGTTATCAAATGAGCCGTCCTTACAAATGGATTTATAGGGGCGGCCGGTGTTATCAGCCGCCCCTACAAATCGGATTTGTAGGTGCGGCTCAATATTGAAGTACCTCTACAAATAGACGCCGGGTATTAAAAATTAAGCACTAAAATTCAAATTTTGTAAACGACCTCGGATGGAGAAACAATCAAAATGAAAGTTGTAGATCTCAAAAAGTTATGAAATTTTATAGTTGACAACTTTTTGATTTGAAATCATCTTGTCAAAAAAAATTACGTTTGAATTTCCAAAAATTTGAATGTGGTTCCTATGCTGTCACAGCTTCAACGGTTTGGAAAGTTGCAAGCAAATAGAGTTAGCTCAGTTGGTGTAAGGAAACAGCTGGCAGGTTGCATATCGGCCTACAGGGCTCTTCCGAACTGACTTACCCTTTTTGCAGCTCATTCAAATTAACTTGCACGCTGACTTGGCCACTAATCCAAATCCCAGGACTAGCCAAAGCCTCCTGGCTGGCTTGTTCTGATGTATCGGCCTAATCGGCTGTGCTTATTCAGCTGTGGGTATGGTTATGGCTGTTTACAGCTATGTGTACGGTGTAGTCCAGTTTATTTTTGCAGTCAAAGCAGCAGCTGCAGGCCTACAAGTGAATTAATTCTGCAGACAACTTTTTGATTTGAAATCATCTTGTTAAGGAAAAACTACTTTTGAATTTTTAAAAGTTTGAAATTTGAATTTTTTAAACGACCTTGGATGGACAAACAGTAAAAATGAAAGTTGTAGATCTTGAAAAGTTATGAAACTTTGTAGTTGATAACTTTCTCATTTGAAATCATCTTGTCATGAAAAACTACGTTCGAATTTCTTAAATTTGAAATTCAAATTTTACAAGTGACCTCGGATGGAGAAACTACCAAAATGAAAGTTGTAGATCTCGAAAAGTTATAAAACTTTGTAGTTGATAATTTTTTTATTTGAATTAGTTTAGGGCCTCAAATAATCAATTTATGCTCAGTTTTGTATAATATGTGGGGAACCAAAATGTAATGTAGACACAAGCAATCGTGAGGTGCAGTGGTAGAAGAGTTTACGTGCTCGGTCGCGAGTTCGAAACCCGACACACGCAAAGTGTGCAAAAATCGTGAAAAATGCTGCAACGGTAAAGTGAGGGTGTGTGTGGCTGCTAGTGGGGACCTCCTCGGATTAAAAAAAATTTGCTATTTTTTACCCCTTTTTTGTGATTGCTGGAAATTGATTTGTAGGGTGGCTGATAACACCAGCCGTCCCTACAAATCAACGATTTGTAGCCACCCTTTTATAGGGGCGGCCAGCAAAACCGGCCCTACATAGCGTTACCAGCCGCCTTAAAAAGGGTTTTCTACGTAGTGTTGCACAAGCAATTCCCACCTTTGGTATGGGGTGTTTTGAAATAACAAAAACGCGCGTGTGATCAAATTAGTAGTATGTCTGCAGGTTCTGGTGGAATCAACTAGAAGGAAAACACAAGATCCATTGGTTCAGTTGGAAAAAAAATGATGTTGCCAAAGAAGGAAAGGTTGCTGGGCTTCCGAGACATTCACGCTTTCAACTTAGCTATGCTAGCTAAACAAGGGTGGCACATTGTACAGAACCCAGACTCTTTGTGCGCTAGAGTTCTGAAAGCAAAGTACTTCCCAAATTCAAGTTGTCTTGTAGCCCGTCCAAGGGAAGGAATTTCGTATACCTGGAGAAGCATTCTAAAGGGTATTGATACTTTGAAAGAGGGGCTAATCTGGCAAATCGGGGACGGAGATGGGATAGATATTTGGAAGGACCCTTGGCTACCGAAAGACCATACTCACCGGCCGATTACCCCCAAAGGCAGCAACATTTTGCGCCAAGTGTCAGAACTTATTGATCCAATTAATTACTAGGGACTAAGACTTCTAGTTGGTTCGATCACGTTCTAGGAAGAAGATGCGCGGGGTGATCCTGTCCATCCCCCTCACCTCGACATGGGAAAACTCGCTGGCATGCACTATGATCAACGGGGATTGTTTTTGTCAGAAGTGCCTATAAGATCTATCGTAGGGGGGTTGTGAATAAGCAACGTCGAAATGGGGGCACCTCAAGTTCGGGATCGGCAAATCAATACGATGACTTGTGGAGCTCTCTTTGGAAAATGGAGATTCCCAACAACATCAAGCACTTCCTATGGAGAGTGACGCGTAATAGCCATCCCTTCGAGAGCTAATTTAGCTTTCAGAGGCATGGATGTTGAGAGCTCATGCATAGTGTGCAACAAAGATGTTGAGGACGAGGGTCACCTCTACTTCAAATACTCTGTGGCCAAACATTTCTGGGCTGAGCTAGGCGTGGAGGAACAAAGAGAGCGGTTGGCAGGAATCGGTTCCACAGACGAGGCTGTTTGGCATATCCTAGGACTGAATTAAGGAAATCCAATGCAAAATGGCAGTTGGAATGTGGGCGTGGTGGTCCGAGCGGAATGGCATCGGAGAAGAGGGAAAGAGGAGACCGATATCTCTTGTCTCTAGATTAGTGGAATGCTATGTGAGGGAGGTAATGAAGCTAATGAAGAAGGAAGTTAGAAGCGGGGTTCCGGAAGTGAAAGCTTGGCGTAAACCGGACCCTGAAGGTCAACTGTGACGCTTCATTCCGTAAAGAGACGGGCAATGGTGGTTGGGGCTATATTATCAATGACAGTGACGGTGATGTGATCAGGACGGGAAGAGGTCGAATGTTCCACCTGCTGGATCCCTTCCATGCAGAGGTTGTGGCGTGCTTAAAAGGGGTCCAGGCAGCCATCAACTTCGGAATTTCTAGGGCGATGGTGGAAACGGATGCTCTTCTGGTCAAACAAGCAGTGCAATCAAGGCGTGGAGTCTGTCCTCGACGGGAAAATTGGTCAAGAAGATTAAGGAAATAGCCCGTTTGAATTTTGACTCTTTTCAAATTTGCGTTGTCCCTAGATCCTGTAATAGAGCAGCACATGCATTAGCTACTTTGGGGTGGGTGGGTGGGTGTGTGTGTGGGGGGGGGGGGGGGGGGGGGTTGAAGATGAGAATCCCATAGTGGATCCAATTCCTGACCGTATTCAGTTGGTTGTGGTTGTTGATTGTGCAACGCGTGAGTAATGGAATTTTATTCGCTCCAAAAAAAATAGTACAGTACTAGTAAGTAAAATTAGGGTGTGAGAATCGGCTCCGATTCTTCTGAGAATCAGCAAAAACCGTGCCAAACAACATACAGGTGAAACGTTTCTAGCAGGAACAGTTCCAAGTGATTCTCATTTTTATGCCTACGAATGTGAATCACTAGAAATGTGGTTTCGCGGTGATTCTCATTCTGCAGCCATACGGTCTAGTGATTCTGATTCGCCGTCCGAAACGTTTCAGGAGAGAATCTGGATCTAAAACGTTTCTAAAAAAATCTGGATCCCTACCAAACGGGTGCTAGCAATAATACTTTCTGATTGCTTTATCGGGTAAAGTTGACGTTAGGGTTTGTTTGCATGTCCATGTATTTCACCTCAATCCATATGCATTGAGATGGGGTAGTACAAAAATTAGTTTAAATTTTACATCAGTCCACTCCAATACACATGAATTAAAATAGATATACAGGCATCCAAACCGCCGTCACCGGCGAACTGTGCCATATAAAGCTCGGCACCGGTCTTCAACCCTAAACAGAAGACGGGCTTTCGTTGTAGCAGCGTACGCTCTGATCGATCGGTACCTGACGCCCTGATCGAGGCCGCTAAAGCTCTGATCGAGGGGACACGGGAGATTCCCCTTCTCGAAGGTAATCTGCGCGGATCCCGCCTTTCCCTTCTTTTCGACCCCTTTCTGATCCACCGGTCTTCAAACCTAAACAGCAGCGTACGCTCTGATCGATCGGTACCTGACGCCCTGATCGAGGCCGCTGAAGAGCTCTGATCGAGGCCGCTGAAGATTCCCCTTCTCGAAGGTAATCTGCGCGGATCCCGCCTTTCCCTTCTTTTTGACCCCTTTCTGATCCGGGCCTTTCTAATGACCAAAGATGAAAAAGGGCGCGTATAGTTGCCCCCTGAATAACGCACTGTAGCATTTCATTTGTATTTGGTAATAATTATCCAATCGTTGACTAATTAGGCTCAAAATGTTCGTCTCGCAAAGTACAACCAAACTGTGCAATTAGTTTTTAATTTCATCAACATTTAGTACTCCATGCATGTACCGCAAGTTTGATGTGACGGATAATCTTCTTTTTACATACTAAACAAGGCCAAAGATTTCTGCCGCCTTTCTGATCGGGTCTTTCTGACTAAAGAAAAGATGAAAAAGATCATTCACCCGTCCTCTGTGCTAGGTGCAGAATCCAAGAGGATGACATCCGGTTCAGATGGATAGACGTCTGCAACCACCACAAGTGGTGCGACGCCTACAAGAGGATTAAGGAGGCTGCAGTTGCAGCGGCAAAGAAGAAGTAGGCCGCAGTACCAGTCGTAAAGGTAATTTCACGAATACAACAAACCAGTATGAAATTTTGTCAATATTAACAGATACTTTGAATTGATTTTGAACTGTTGAATGGATAGCTGTTGGAAAGAACATGTGACCCATTTTCTGGGAATCTGCCAATAAATTCATATTCCAGTTGCATTTCTCTACCGAGAGAATTGTCATCTGGTTCTCGGACAGTGGCATATTGGGATCTTGGATAGGTTCCTATGTTTCATAACCATTGGTCAGTCTTACTGTTTTGGCAGTAATATAAAATATGCTTCGGCTGTAGATTTAAGAGATATGTATGCAGTGTGGTACCTACCATTTGGTTTGACAAGGGAAGTTGCTGCAGGTAAAGATGGTTGACTGAATGTGACGGAATCTGTATCTGTAATAAAGAATAAGTAATGGGAATTCAGTAGGCAACTGAAATAGGTATTTCTTTTTCATTCTGCATACAACATGAAAGGAATATGTAGTTTGCTAGCTGGGTTGGATGTAGTGACTAAAAATGTCACTAACAGTGAGAATATTACAGTACTTTTTTTGTAAGGCTTGAACATGCCTGAATAAGTTCTAAAAATAACCAGGACTGCAGCATGACTTTAAATAGAGAATTAGAAGAAAATTTTCAAATCCACAACACTTCAGAGCATTGCAAGCTCAGCAGGCCCAGAGCATTACAGATTAGAGAATTATAAGAAAAATGTCAAATTCACAACACATCAGGGGGAGGGGGTGGCTTGTGTGGCTGTGTGGGAGGGGTATGTGGCAGTGTGAGGAGTAACCTAGCCACCCACCCATTATCCTTATCTACCTGCAATTTTTCATGCTCCTGTGTCCCAAAATCCCAACTGTGCTCGCACGCTCTCTCCTGCACCCTGCTTTTAGTTTTTTTCCGTGTTTCCATGCACGCCCTTGTTCCTGCCTGCCCACACCCTACTTGCACAGGTGCCTCGCTGCTGTTTCCACACCGTCCAGCAAGCGCTGGACCGCACAGGGCCTAAACAACGTGCTGGGATCATACTGCCACTTAATCACGCCTAACCGTGTGTTTAGTTATGTTTTTTTTACACAGGGAAAATTGCATATTTACCAATATTTAGACCTCAATCTGGAATTTTCCATAAAAATGCCAAAACGGGAAACTTGCAACTACTTTTCATTTCCGTTAACTAATACCATAAGCTGGGTGCAAAAAGATATCAGACAGTAATAAAATTGGATAAGTACAGGGAAAGATCCAAAATAACAGTAACCCCCTTCTAATCTCCTTGGGTTCTTCCACATTCGGCCATTCCTATGGATTATCTCACCTATGACATAATCCTTGCCCACTAGCCTCCATCTGCTGTGGCCACCAGTCAGTCCCTTGCCCCATGAGCCCCACATGCCATGGCTGCTCAACTGTGGTATGCCAGAGCCTGCATCAGGAATAGCGCATGGGCAAACCTGACAGTGTCTCCCCCTCCCTCTTAACAGCCTGTCAGTGTCCCTCCCTCCCTCTTAACAGCAACTCGCCACCGGATCCAGGCAGGACAAGCCCAGAGCAACAGAAGAGAATGCATAGTGGCAGGGTAGGGGCGACAAAATGTGGTGGTTGGAGCACAAAGGAGTAAGACTTGAGCCCATGGTTTGCTGCAGGGTCAATACTCAATAGGAGGTTGCTAGCGATGGCGGCACGATGCTGCCAGAGTAGTTGTGACAAATGGCTGGTTAGCTCTGGCAGGAGGGAGGAGATGTGGCAGCAGACACTTGGGCTTGATGGAAGAGCTGCGGGCAAGCTCCGCAAGGGAGGCTTTTACATATATGCCATTAAAAAAGTTTGTAATTACACACAAGCCATTAAAAAAATTGACCACACACGAGGGCCATCGTTCTGAACTTCTTTGCTCTCCAAGCCATTCCGTCGGTGTTCTGTTCGTTTTTCACCATTACATGTGGGCCCGGTCATTATAAAGGTCCAAAATACCCTTCTCTCGTCCACACCGCTCGCGCTCGCGTCCTAGGCTGGCGGAGCTCGCACCCGCGCCCCGCAGAGCTCACGCTCATGCTGCTCGGGGAGCACGCGGTCGTGCGGCCATGGCGTCCGGAACTCGCGGGGCGGGGCGCGCAGGGCCAGGGTGGCGCTGGAGGTCTCGCGGCCGACGGCCATGGCGGGCAGGGGCGCACGCGGCCATGGCGGCTGGAGCTCGTGGGGCGGGGCACGCGGGGATAGGGCGGCGCTGGAGGTGTCGCGGCCGATGGCGCGGGACGCGTCCGGCGGCGGGCGCGGACGGGTGCTCGTCGGAGCTCGGCCATCGTCAGTCTCGCCCCTGGCCACGCACGGGAGCGGAGGTGCCGGTCCGACCACCTCCGGCTGCTGGGGGGCGCCCGGGGCAGGAGCAGCGCGCGGCGCAGGAGGTGAAGAGCCCCGCTCGGCGGAGCTCGGTGACCGCCTTGGCGCCACTGCTCCGCGCGGCCGCCCAGCCTTTCCCCGGCCGCCGCGAGCGCGGCCCCGCCCGATTCCTCGCCCCAGCAGCAGCTTCTCCATGGCCTCGCCTTCGCCCCCGACCTGAAGAAGCTGCCATCCGCGCAGGTAGCAGCCCGGGCGGACCTCCGCTGCGGACATAGGCGCCGCTGAGCAATGCTCGCCGTTGCCGCGCCGGTGCTCGGAGCCTCGATGGGAGGAGGAGCGGGCGCGAGCGAGGAAGAGCGGCGGCGCGCGTGCCGGGTGGTCGACAGCGGAGCTCACGCTCAAGCTCGCGGCTGCCATCCCCTCCGTCAGCGCTCGTGCTCGCAGCCGTGGGCGTGCCCGCCGCGCTGTGCTGCCGCACGCTCCACGCCCGGGCGAGGTGCAGGCGCGCCTCCCGCGCCGCCACGGCCAAGAAGAAGGAGATGGCGGTGCTGCTGATGGTGGCCGCTCTGGCCGTGGCCATCCTCAAGGTGACCGCCTCGGTGCCGCTGCTCCGCGTGGCCGCCCAGCCTAGCCCCGGCCGCCGCGAGCGCGAGCGCGGGCGAGCTCCGCCCTGGCCGCGCGCACGAGAGAGAGAGAGAGATTTGAGTTTGAGAGAGAGAGGATAGAGACGAGAGGGGTATTATGGACGTTTTGATTGAACGGACCCACTTGTCGGGACTCCCAAACGGTGAAAAACGAACAGAACACCGACGGAATGGCTTGGAGAGCAAAGAAGTTCAGAACGATGGCACTCGTGTGCGGTCAATTTTTTTAATGGCTTGTGGGTAATTACAAACTTTTTTAATGGCATACATGTAAAAGCCTCATCTACATGTGGTTGGAAGGGGAGCTTGGTGGACACTGTTAGTCCAATGTCAAGTATGATAGGTCAATCCATCAATGAGGTGAAGAAAGAGGGGCATTTATTTGCACACTGTTAGGGGCAGCTCCAATGGTAACTTATGGGCTAGCTCAAAGCATATTATTTCATATTTTAATAGAAGAGAGAGAGAAAAGCTAGCTCTTAGAGCTAATCTCATGCACACATTTCAAGATTATATGAGGATGTCATGTGGGGCTATTCATGTTATGAGCTATGTGCTAAGCTAGTAAGTAGCTCATATTGCTGAGGTTGCCCTTAGTCCAATGGCAAGTATGACATCCATCAACTGCTATTCTAATGGTAAATTTGTAGCAAGACTTTTTCTGGTGGCAAATGTGCAGAATTTAAACAAACAGATGGGAAAAAATGCAATTGGCCCAAACAATAATATCTAGCATAAATATATATGAAATTATGGATCAATAACATCCGTCAGGGGCAGGGATTAATTTACCTTCTACCAGCACCCCAAAATAATCTAAAAAACAAGAAGACGGTTTTATAAGTACCTTATAACGATCTTGTATGTAAGACGTCTTGAATCTCCAGACACGATCAGCTCATCTAAAGGTCAACAGATCTATTGTTAGAACACAACGTGAAGAACTGTAAGAGTAATACGGAATAGATCGCAAATTTCACAGGACCAGAGAGGATTTCTGCATCAAGATGGCATCAAGGTGGCACCTTTTTGAGCTAGGGCGCTAGAACTCGCTAATCAGGAAGACTCGCCTAGGCTGCTAGCGACGGCGCAACAACACATCCGAGAGTATACTGACTGCCTCCAGTCCATCTCTTCCACCGGCGGCACAACACAAAGCTTAAACTTATGTAAAATTTCAGATCCAAATCTATGGTGCCCGCCGCCAGTTCAGCTCAAGGCCGGAGGGAGGCGGACCTGTTCGTTTGGCGATCTGCGGACTCCCAGCAAGTCATCTACGGGACTCAGTTATCTGGTAGAGGTAAAAAATTAAGATTCTGCTGAGAAAAAATAAAACTTTTGCATCAGAGATTGAGTGAACAAAAAGGGTCAGGGGGCGGGGAATTGGGCTCACAAACGCATCAGCCGACGTGAAGACATCGGCGACGGCGGCGCAACGATCCATGCACGAACGGATCAGCTCGATGGCCGCGGCAAGGATCCGTGTGAGATGGGGAAAGGATAAGACGAGGGAAGGAGAACTCAGGAGCCATCGGTTACCGGTTGGTGAGTATTTATTTATTTAATTAATTATTATTATTATTATTATTATTATTATTATTATTATTATTATTATTATTATTATTATTATCAGGCCCCCTTGGCCGTCGTTTCGTAGCCAGTTTGGTTGCCTCCAGGATGGGCTCGGTTCGGTTTCTCTGTTATATATTCGTAAAATAAATAAACCGATGAAATTCAGTTCCCAGAGAACAGAAACCGACCGGTTCAAGATTTTTTTTTTGTTTCCCATTCGAGCCCGATTCTAACCGAACTAACTATTCAGCAGAGGTTAATACAACAAAAGGAAAAGGTTTTAAAGCAAATATAAGACAACAATACCTCTATTTTAGACAATAATTATTGATAAGAGAACAATAGTAGCAATATAATAACACAGCATCATTTCAATGTGAGACATCACAAATAAATCGACATACTATTACAAAATACAAGTGAATTACAATTCATGTACTTTGATTCTTTTGGTTAATTCGATTAACTAAGAGTAGAACCAAAATTACCTCGATAATTTTAGTTTCTCACAATCTGGAGCCAATTTTTTCGATTTTGGTTATTTTGGATCGGTTTTCGGTTTTCAATTAAAAATGCTCAGGCCTAGTTGCATGTCTCCCCAATATATGTTAGTGCAGTGAGTGTCTACGTCTGGTTTGAGAGGGATCCGCCTTAAGGGCTTTCACTATGAGCCAGAGCCGTTTTATGAGGTTTGGTTTCTTCAAAACAGTTCTGGCTTCTCCATTTTTTTAAAAAAAGGGGCTTTAAATGACTCATCCTAAATCATTTGGTAGAGCTTCTTTAGAGAAGCTAGAGCCGGAGAAAAGTCTTATCTTACTAAACATGGCCTTGATATTTGCTTTTTTCGTTCCAATTCAATTCAGTGTAATATATCCCGTATAGGTAACCAATCAAGCGCTTTGTTCAGCACGACATTCTGGCAGTGAACTAAACAAAGACAACTTGCATCCCTGTAGCCTCTCCATGAGTCTGATTCTATTCGAGCTAGGCTCCCCTTAACCGACAAGCAAACATGCTCTAGCCGACACCGGCACACCGTAGGCTAGACAATTGGACCAAACCCTTCCCCCTACTTTTTCTCAAAAGGAATGGGGACTTCTCTTCTTTGCTATACTACTAAGTATTTCCCGTCCCAAAATAAGTCTCGTGGGGGTATAACATCCGATACCCATAGGATTGTACATGGGTCAAGCCGTCAGGAGAGGCCCAGCCCACAAGATCAAACCGCGCGAGGCACGACACAGGTCGGTGTGCGCCGCAAGACTACGTGAAACATCCTTGATGACGAAGGAAGATCCGATCGGATATGCTAGATATCGTATTCCTTGTAAACAAATATCATGTAAATCGATTAGGATAGATTCAACCGGTCTGTAACCAAATATCGTATTCCTTGTAAACAAATATCATGTCAATTTCTTCTCAACTAAACTAGGGACTGGTTTTTAGCTAAGCTGGGAACTGGTTTGGCATGCTAAAATTATAAATTTTGACCCTGGCACCACATGAATGCTTCACCTATTGTCAGGCTCGGGGACTAAGTGGGCATACTTCACCTAGCGGTGAAGTGCTTATTTCTGGGACTAAGTCGTAAGCTCTCTATTTTGGCTCTAAGAGCCACCTTTTGCCTAAGGTATGGATGCTAAGCATCTACTGTTGCATGCGAGGGACTAAGTTCCTCCGCGGTGACTAAGTTAGAGACGCTAAGCGTCCAACTTCGTCGCCCGGAACATAAGTGGGCACACTTCGCCTAAGACGAAGGCTTCAAATTTTTGTACTTGAGCTCCTTACATCCTTCTAGCAAACCTCACGTAAGAGTGAGTCCGAGCTTTGACTCCTAGTTAAACTGGTCGGACGCACATTCTAACCGCTCAGCTCCTAGTTAAACTGGTCGGATACCTGATTCAACAGCTCAGCTCCCAGTTAAACTGGTCGGACGTATGCTCCTGATGACCGGTGACAACTTGAACTGATCGGACAAGCTCGGCATTGCTCAGCGGATACAAGGCGCTCGGAAACTAGTTGTGGAGGTATAACACCCGATACCCATAGGGTTGTACATGGGCCGAGCCGTCAGGGGAGGCCCAGCCCACAAGATCAAGTCGCACGGGAACGACATAGGTCGGCGTGCGCCGTAAGACTGCGTGAAGCATCCTTGATGGCGAAGTAAGATCCGATCGGATATGCTAGATATCGTATTCCTTGTAAACAAATATCATGTAAACCGATCGGGATAGATTCAACCGACCTGTAACCCTACCCCTATGTGGATTTTGGTGTATTGATGACATCTAAATTATGGACTAATAAGATCTTAATAAGATATATTACAGGTTTAGTCCTTTGAAAGCTTTAAAAGAGTTGATCTAAAATGAAATGTTATCCCTTAATTCTTCAAGTGCAAAAACCGGACGAACCCAAAGCGCTCTCCAAATCTTTTATGTTTTGTTTTGGGTTTAGGTATGTCGTACTGTAAAGAGAGATGCAAGTTTAGATGGTCTGAGAAAGATAGAGTTCTCAAGCATAAAAATAAAATTAAAAGAGACACAAAATCACCTCACGAACACTTGGACATAGTTTGTTGACTTTTGATAGTCGGAA